TCTTGCCCACAGCAATGTTAATTCAGTCTTGTTCTCCTCCATGAAGACTAAACACAGGTAGGAGAGAACCAGGATCCACTAGTACTAAAAGCGCTAAGGATAAAGGGGCTGTTTCTGGCCACTGTGCTTTACCCCCACCGTTTTATCTCCAGTACTCAGTTTTGGATGCTTTCCTCATGCACCTCAAGCCTATCCTGGGTGCTTATTTGTATCCCAGTTTCCTTTAGTGGTAAAAGGTTAGGCATTCCACAGTGCTCAAAGCCAACACAAAGCCTCTAAGTAAGCACTTGTGAGACGTACCTAGTCATCTGAGTAATTAGACATTTCCCTCATTCCAAATGTACCAAAAAACTACAGCCAGTTCCAGATGAACACGTCAGCAGTTATCCTAACAAACAAGAGTTCTCTTTCCTAAATGTCAGCATGCCAATGAATCAGAAGATTAAGATGCATTTAAATCAATATCTCTTCCTACCTGAATTAATCAGGGATTTTAATTACTCATTTATGTAGCATCACCTGATCATACTTATTCCTGTAGCAATTGGTGCACCTTTCTCTGCTGACGTGGCCCATTCCCACCATTGCTCAAGCCAGGCCACAGAGCACACACACTTGCCAGCCAAATGGAATTCCAGTCTCCAGCGTAGGCACAGATCCTTCATACCAAGGGACAAAGCCTCTTCCTTCTGAAGGCATTCCCTGCAACCCTGCATGGAGAACAGCTAGCTATGCATGCCATACAAGTCGCAACCATATCAGTGCTCCACTGGGAGAGGGAGTTTACATCACGTGGGGATGCAAACATGCAGACTGCTAGACTGGCTCCTTGCCCCAGCGGGACTCTCAGGACCTGCTGCACACTGCAGGGCTCGAATGCAGACCACAAGATACAGCAGGTTGATCCAAGAGTTTGGTGCTGCTGAGCAGGAAGCCCCAGTCCTTGCCGTGTCCCTCCTGGTCACATGTCTGTGCTGTTACCCCTACACGCTCCAGCACTCAGAGGCTTCTGCAAGCCCACTGCAGCTAATTAACCCATAGGAAGCTGACAGCGTGACAGAACAGCCTAAGAAGATGGGAGCTGGCACAGGGAGAGGAGCACATGGCCCGAAGCACTAGCGAACTCTTAGGATCAGCTCAGCTGCTGTGAATCCACAGTCTCACCCCGCTCAGTTTCCACTGCCCTGGGGAAGTCCACACCAGGGCTGGTGCAAGAGCCCACGCGATGTGAAGCCATCCCAGAGCCTGTAGAGCAGTCACATCCCTGCAGGAAGAACCTCCTGTTCAAGTCAAGGGGACCCACTTGGTTTCTCTTCATGCTTGCTCACCCAACAGGCAAGCTACAGAGGCGAGCTAGCATGCGAGATGCTCAGGCAGTACTCAATAAACAGCTTCCAATTTCCAGCATAGCCTTTTTCCAGCACTGTTCAATGGGCTTCCTTGGTATCTCCCAGGGACATCAGGTCACGTATGCTCCATGTGCAGTTCTGCCTCCATAGACCCAACTTTACAGCTCAAGGCTTAAAATGAACTTTTTCAACTACAGGACAAGTAAGGCAGGAACCTAAAACAAAACTCATTCTACATGGGAGCACCAATCCTGGCCATCTCTCATTCCAGGAGATGCCCTTCGAACAAAGCTTTTCCCCTAGACTATTCTCTTCCTCCAATCAGCCTCCCCATGGTTCCCACTGCTACCTTCTCATGAGGCTCCCTGTAAGACAGGACAGTACTGTGTTCTGCCACAGCTTCTTCGAGAGAGCTTGGAGAGAAAAAAAAAATAATATAGAAAAACAAAACAAAAATCCGAACATGGAATAAATCCTATTTTTCAATGTGGAGAAACTGAGGAAAAAGTTTTGATCCTCTTACAATCAGGCTGTGAGGACATCGTTCTTGGTTTTCACAGGTATGTGTCCTTCCACAAAGGAAAGCATTTCAATGCACAAAAGCAAGAAAAAGGGGAGAAGAAGGTAGGCATCTCTCCCTTCTGGTATGTAACAGTTACACCCAGATAGTAAGAGTTTGAGTCATGTTTCTGGGATGACTAAAAGAAAGGACTTGCATTTCAGAAACGTTCCTATCAAAAAGCTCTGGGAGCTACGCACACGCAAGAAGGAAGTCAGAAAGTCTTCTGTACACCAAAAGAAGAGCTGTGCCCATGACTCTCGGGCATCTGGAAAGGCACAGAGCTAGCTGGGGGTTACCACCCAGAAAGGCAACATCGCCTGGCCCAGCACATGGTTGGACAGAGCATCCTGCCTGGCTGGGGCGTTACGGTCACTAACACCCCTGGAAAACCTGCATACAACAGCTGCCTACCAGATATTTTTTTCATGGTTGCCATCACCAGAAGAATAAACATGTCAAAGACGCATTAGATGTTTTCTGCAACGGGCAGAAGAGAACGGGAGACGAGCACCAGTGCAAAACACCATCTAAGCTTGTAGTTCATACAAAGCACACTGCTGCAGAATAATGCTATAGCTCTTTACTATTATTCTTCCACAGGTTACACACAGCCTTTTCACACAAGAAAGCTCTGCAGAGGCACCAAAAGAGCTTTCCAGATTTTACTGAAGACCTCCAAGCGGAATGAACTTTCAATAAATCAAACCCCCAGGGAGACCCTTGTTGAAAAGCAGCCCTTTAGAGAACTGCCTCCCACAGTCCAGTTCTCAGCCGTCATTTGGACGGCACACACCACATCTGCACGAGGACCTCCATCTATATACCCACCCACACAATTCAAGGCTTCCTACCAGCCACACAGTACAACCCACCAAAAGTCCTTTACCCTTAACTCTCTTTACCGGCAAGCTCTGTCCAGGCGAACATCCCACAACACATCACATTCCCCAAGATACACATGTGGTAAAGAGAAATAACAACAGTAACTCAGATCCAGGACTGTACTGTATCAGTACAGCCACAGCCTGCTCCAGGCACTGCTTCTACCCAGGTCCTTCTGCTCCAACTCACCATATAAGAAATGGAGTAAGATTTATCATAACAAAAAAAGGAAGGAAGCAACGCTCCCTCCCCAAACACGCATCCTTGTTCCGCATATCCTCTGACTTTCCACCAAGTTCAAACTTCTCATCAACCACAGAGCCTGTCCTGTCAACAGAGACTCAGAGGGGAACTCGTAACTGGTGGAAATTTCAGAAGATACCAAGGCAGTTCCACACCACCTGACCACACAGCAAAGCCCGCTCTCCTCTGCGCTCTCCTTTCACATCCCAGTAGCTGTCTGCCTGAACAATATGCTCATTTTGAATACTGTTTCCCCCGGAGAACAGTTTTCTTCCCAATCTCTCTCACTTTAACGTCTTAAACACCCTCGTCTCACAGGAAAAATTATTACAATATGAACTTAAAATACAGCGGCAGTAGTATAACCTAGAGGTTTTCAAACTCCTTCCTTCTCCAACATATTTTTGTGCAAAGCCTTTAATAAAATGCAAAGCGTCAACCTTATGTAGCATCACAAGACACAGTGCTAAATAGTTAGAAACAGCAGAATTTAGCATCCAGACTTTGCACGCCCCCTGCTACTACAGAATTCACTGATTGCCCAGCCTGTGCAGCACAGCACACACATTACCGTACAATCAGACTAACATCTCTGTGAAAGCGGCCATCTCATCTGCTTCTGACTTAATTTTAGATTAACAAAACGCTTGTCATGCACAGCTACAATTGCAGACCTTACACAGGACTCTCATGCACGGGGAAAGCATCCACACAGCCCATGTGGAGCAGTTCACATCCAGCTGGCCTGAGGTAAGGCCTGGTCATCCTATCACTAGTGGTGGACAGGACAGCTGTATGTCTGCCTACCCTCCTGGGCTCCAGGAGAATAGGTCATCCAGGAGCAGCAAGCAAAGGTGATAGCAGTAAGAGGGATGACACCAGAGGGACCCACCACCACGCCTGAACTCTCTCTTAGTTAAGAGCTACATTCCCAGCAGGTCCCAATTGCCCCACTCCTCCCACCACTGCCTCAGGCCACAGGGTTGCAATCCAATCATTTCCACCAGCCCCTGCTTCACAGCTTGCCTCAGTGACTCCAAGCTTTGCTCCTTGAACTCCAGTTCTGCCCCACCTGCACAGATATCCACATTTCCTTCACATCACCCAGATTCCTACAGGCACCTCAACCAGCTGCCAGCCACCTGCTGCCTGCCTGACCCAAAGACATTTCAACAAGCAAGATGCCACCACCTCCACTCCCCACCACACACCAAGGCAGGGCCAGTGTCCTTATGCTGCATTGTCCCAGTCACATACAGATTCACAAACAAGCAAGCTATGTTGTGAGCTAGTTCTCATATCTGCAAGTATCAGCATAAATGATAATGCAGAACTGAAAGTCCTTGACAGCTACGGACATTTGTTTTTTCTTTTAATAAGCACTGTTGCAAGGTCAGATGTGATGGAAACCCAACGATGTTCCTAAAGTCAGGGTGCAATGGAGACAGCAGTTTTCAAAGTAGTGTTATCAGAGCGCCTATAATGTCCTCTACACACCACAAGGACCGATGGGTGGATGCGCTTTCCCTGAAAGGCTGTGAATACTTCACAGGAACCAAAAGCTAGCACGAAAATGAAAAGCGTGCCAACTATTCCACCATCTCCTTCCATAAGGCACTCCTTCCGCAGCAAAGGGACTCCTTGAAAAGGGACCCGTGCCGCTTGGTGCTAGTCCCCTTCCAAGGCCACGTTTCTCAGCAGAAAAAAGGGCTAAACAAGAGACAAGCAGAGAAAGTTGCTGCACAACAGATACTCCAAGGCGCTGCCAGGAGAGATAAGCTGTCATAAACCAAGACCCTCCAAAATTGCAGGACTCGGGTTTTCTCCTACCTCGCGCTATCTTCCTGCCCATGTTGTCAAAGCACTGTTACCCTGGGGAATGTATAACCAAGATAGTTACCATGAGCAAAACGTTAGCCCTGCGAGACAGGGGACACGGCCACCGAGTCTAACCCACTGCCTAGATGGCACAAAAGGTAAGGGGGGGCTTGAGAGGCTTTATAAGCTTTACGTTACTGCCAGGTCGGCCGGGAGACTCGGTTCCCTTATTGTTCGCTTGGTGCGTCCCCACGAGACAAGAGGCGCGCTGCATGGCACGCTGCAATCCTCAGCCGCGGTTGTTCCGGCCAGACACAATAAGGGCAAATTTTACAGAACCTAGCAGGGATTTTCCCTCCCGCACAGGCTTTAAAAATAAAAATAAAAATAAAAGGAAAAAGGAAAAGCCCAGCAGGAA